GGGGGGGGGGGGGGGGGGGGCTCGCTTGCTTCCTGAGTGGCCTCTGGCCATTCCTCTGCGGAGCTGCTGGGAGGGTCACCATGGCTCTGAGCTCCTGGATGCAACTCTGGCTCCTCTGCACCCCACGGAGCCTAGCACAGTACCTGGTGCTCAATAAATGCTTATCCTGATCTTGACGGTCTCTCTGTCCCTGGCCCCCTCGCAGCACTGAGCTTCCTCCCCTGCACCTGGTCAGCCGGTCTCCCTGGAGGAGCGAGGCCCGGCCCCTCTCACCAGACAGCATGCGGCCCCTGCGGGAGGCCTCGGTCGCCAGGGCACAGGAGATTTCAATCCGCTTCTCCTGCTCCTGCAGCTGGCTCTCTGAGTCCTGGGGCACGTCCACAAGGTCCCCCTCGCCGACAGGCACCACGTTCTGCATACTGAGGAGGCACAGACACACAGACATGGAGTGGGGGGCGGACAGGACGGTCCCATTGGCTTGGGGCGGGGGCCTGTGGACTGAGGTTGGCAGGGTGGCCGGAGGCCTGTGTATGGGGTGAGTGGGACCCTGGCCGAACACATTTTGGGGCCCCTTCCTACAATGTTTTAAAATGAATCAGAAGGTTCAGGTGAACATTTAGGGCGGCCTCGACGAGGAAGAGAGGTCACCAGAGGGCAACCCATCAGTTTGTCTTGACGACAGCACGTGCCTGCACCCAGCTGTCTTTTTGACCCCCGACGGCGGCAGCGTCGCGGCCCCTGCCACGGGCCCGGGCCTGGTCCGTTGCCTCGAGCCACGGCCTCCACGCACTCTCCGCCGGGGAGGCTCAGGGCTCCCACTGGCATGGGGTGGGGTGCTGGATTCGGTGGCGCTAATGTCCCAGGTGCCCTGGGTGCCTGGGTGGGCAGATGTCGTCGAGGTTCACCCAGGCCTGTTACCTGGACTTGGCAATGAGCGTCTTGATCCTCTCCACCTTCTTCTGCTTCTCCTTCAACTCCTCGGGGCTCAGGGGAGTATCGGGCTCCAGGTCAATGTACCGTTCAGGGATGAGGACTTTGTCCGGCGTGGACAGCTGCGGAGGGACCTGTGTCACCACCCCCATCCCACCCCCTTCCAGGCTTCCTCCCCCTCCGCCCTCCCGGACTTCACTCACCTCCTTATTGATGTCCACGTCATAGTGCTGGGGCTCCAGCTCCATTTTGCGGAGCCGGGCGATCTCCTCCCTCGGCGTCTCGTAGGCCTGCCCACCAGGCTCCTCTGCCCGCAGGGCCGCCTCCAGGTTGGAGATGTCCACCTCGTGGATGCTGCGGTGACGGCGCACCTAGGGGACAGCACCGCCGTGACCACACGGGGCCCCTGTCCTGCTGTCGGCAGCCATTTCCCCTGCTACCCGTGTCTCCAGACAGCGCAAAACAGGCCTGTGTCCTCCCTGCTCGTCACGCCCCATCCGGCCACCGCCCCGCGGCCCCACTGCCCGGCTATGTTCCTTCCGTGCTGCTTGTCCAGAGCGGGGACGCCTGCAAAGGCCCAGCCGCAAAATCTCATCGATAGGTCTCGTCAGTACTTGGTACTTCCCATCTGGCTGTAGCCTGTGTTCCCATTCTGTGCCATACGTTTTGGGCAGTTGATTAGTGTGCCTGACACTGGCCTTCAGTTGTTGCGTATCAGACAACCTCCAACCCACCAGGTAGAATGCAAGCTGGCTGAGGGTGGGACTTACGAATCATAATTTTCCTGTATTTTTGAAATGTGGTGGAAAGAAAACTTAGGCAGATGCCTGGGGCTACTCCCAGCTCCACACTCAATACCTGTGTGGCCCAGGAATCCTTAATTTCTCCTGACTTTGTGTCCCTGTCTCCCAAACAGGGGTGATAATTCCGAACCTCGCGCTGCTGAGGGACCCGAATAGAGCAACATGAGGTTTGGGAACGGTACCAGGTGACAGGGTGGCATCGTGATTATCTTCAGTATGTATCTTTCAATACATAGAAAATGCTCTAGAAATTGCGTGAGCGATGCCTCTCTCTGGGCGGTGAACTTCGCACTATTCTGTGTTAAGTGAATTGTGTATACTTCATTTCCACTAAAGCAATCAACGCATTCTTTGGGGGGGGGGAGAGTTATTTTTCTTTCAACGCACAAAAAGGAATACTTGTGGCAGTGAATCGTCTGCCTAGTGGGGAGAAGTCTCCCCCCCCCCACCCCGCCTCGTTCTCCCTAGGTGCCCAGCTCGGGCCCTTCCCAGCCCCTCTCCCAGTGCCCCGCACCCAACTGCCCCGGCCCAGGCTGGTCACCCACTGGGAGTGGACACTGTTGGCAGATGCCGGGCCAGGCCCGTGGGTCGCTGCGAGGACATTACCACTTTGTAGGCGGGCCGCGTAGCAGGGTCGGGGGCCGGACTGGCCGGGAGCTGCAGGCTCCTTCGCTTCTCCTTCATAGAGCCGCTCTGGTGCCTCCGCATGCGGTCGATCTGTTCCTCCACACTCATCTTGACCTTGCCCTCGCCAGGAAACACGGCACTCTTGGGGCGCTCCTGCTGCAGGGGGAGAACGGGGCTCTGACACGTGCCTCGTCTGCCCTCCCAGCTTCTTCATCTGCCCTAATCCCTTAGATTTCCCTTCTCTGGGAAGCCTGTCCATAGCGGGTTAAAGAATAGCCCCTAAGACATACGTCCAGGTCCTAACCCCCTAGTAACTGTGAATGTGACCTTATTTGGAAATAAGGTCTTGGCAGGTGTGATTAAGGTAAGGATCTCAAGAAGAGAGCATCCTGAATTAGAGTGGACCCGAAACCCAATCATGGGGGTCCTTACAAGAGACAGAAAAAAAGAAGACGGCGTAGAAGGAGATGTGAAGGCAGGAGTGCCTACTAGAGTGTTGGGTCTACAAGCCAAAGAACAGCAAAGATTGCCTGCAATGCCCGAAGCTAGGACAGAGGCACTGGACGGGGTGCTCCCTCAGACCCTCCAGAGGGAACCAACCCTGATGATCTCGATTCGGGACTCCTGGCCTCCACAACTCTGAGAGAAGAAACTTCTGTTGTTTTAAGGCCCCAAGTGTGGGATGCTTTGTTAAGTTCCTGGCAGCCCTCGGAAACACATCTACTACCTTAGGTCGGCTCATCTGACCCTGATTTTTGCTGGATTTGTATTTCATTGCTGGCACATTATAATAATTTTGTTCAGCATCCTTCTATCTTTCCCATGAATTAGGGCCACGGCAAATTTGAGAATTGTTAGGAAGATCAGAACAATGAAAGTAATCTGTATCTTCCTTGTCCCTTGTCCCTCGATGTGGCTTCCTGAAGGAAGGCTTCTCCAGTGGAGCTGTTGCCCCCTCCTACTTGTCCTGCCTTCCTCCTCCCGCCCGGGGTTTCTTGATGGTGGACACATGGGCGGACACGGAGAGGCCTCAGCCCAGCTCAGGCCCACTCGGGCCTCGGCGCCCACAGATCGTACTCACCCGGGAGGAGAGTCCGTTGGTGAGCCCATCGGCACTCCTCCTCACCACCCTTGACGGGGTTACCTCTTCATCGGTGGGCGACTTCGTCCGAGGGGGCACAATGCCAACTGTAGGGAGGCAGAAGAACTGGTGGGCCTCCTGGAGAAGCAGGAGGGCAGACACACAGGGGAGCCTGCGTCTAGAGGCGGCTCAGTGCCACCTGTGGCTGAGATGAAAAGCCGAGGATGGGTGGGCACTCAGTCTTCGGTTGTGATGAGCACCTGGGCCGCTCTCCGACTCTTGGCCTTGCGTCTAGGGGAGGATGGGACAGGAAGTACCTTTGTTGAGAGCTGTCTGCTTCTCTGCCTCCGCCTCTTGCCTGGTGGGCACCAGGTTGATGTCTCTGGCGGTGTCCAGGGGTGACGTCTGGTGGGGGTCTTTCTTGCTTTGCTCATAGCTTGCCTTGGGCTGGGGAGAAAAAAGGAGGAGACGGTTGGTGCCCTAGGGACTGCTGAGGATTTGGCCCCCAGGGGTGTTTCTTTGTTTTGCAATGGCTGGAGCACAGACCCTTGAAAACAAGGGATAAGGAAACTCTAAGTGAGCCAGCTGGGAAGCAGGCAGGGGTGAGATCGAGCCTCCCACTCAGGCCACCTTAAGGCTGGCCAATGCTGGCTCATCTTGGGGAGTGAGGGCTCAGGGCTTCCAGGAGGCCCTCAGCAGAGGCCCATCAGGGAGGCCCCTCAACCTGACCAGTCCTTTTGGCAAACGCCAAGAAGCACAGACTCTGCTGTAAGCCAGAGAGGAGGAATGGCCAGAGGAGGGGTCTATAAGGCCGAGGATCTCTGAGGATTCTGTTGGAATCGCACCCAAAACTTAAGCAAAAGAACCAGCTGGGCTTTGGTACCAAGATTCTGGGCGACGGAAAAGTGTGCTTAGCTTGAGGGCTCGCAGAATCATGAGACACGAAGGGGTTTCAGATACCACCTGCACCCCCTTTCGCCCCCATCGTGCAGCTGAAGAGTCTAAGTGTCAGTGTGGTGCACACAGAAAGACTGGGCCAAAGGCCAGAAACCCCGGCTCTAGTCCAGGGAGAGAGCACAGGTGAGCCCCATCGCCTCCCCTCATCTAGAAAGCGTGGCCTGCTTTGCCCCCCTCACTGGCAGCCCCTCGGGGCGGTGCAGATACGGCAACTGAGCCAAGATGGAAATACGGTTCCCTGTTTTAGGCACAGGACTTTCTACTCACCGTGCAACCTCTTGCCAGCCTAACTGTACCTCTCTCCTGGGAGAGGGGCTGGGGAGCCAGAACGGGGCAGAAAAGGGGACCCTGTATTCTTACATCCCAGGGCCGAGGAAACCCAAGAGGACACAGGCAAGGCAGAGACAGAGACAGCACAAGAGGACCGGCGTCTAAGGCGGACAGGAGCAGGAGGGGATTGGAATGGCACCGGTCGCTGCGGGTCCCTGGCCTTTCCTGGCCGGCTGGTGCTGGCAGCCAGGGGCTGCCCGGGAGCCGCGGCACGGAGTGGGACAACTCATTGTCCCCCTGTCCACAGAGAGCACCAAGGGGAAAGCCTTCTCTGCCATCCCTCTCCTTATCCCAGGGTCCAACTGGGCAGCTGTGGGAAATGACTACTGGAATGGGGAAAATGGCTCCGTGTCCTGCCTCGCCCCCTCACCTGGCCGTTCGCCCCGCTCCCTCCGCCCCTGCCCTCCAGGACCCAAGGGTGCTGGGTACCTGACCCCTGGCTGGCTCGCCACGGCGGTGCCAGGAAGGGGAGCTGGGGTACGGCCAGAAGCGGCTCTCGCTAGGGAGTGGAGGCACGTTTGGAGGAGACTCCAGGGGGACGTAGGCTTTGGGAAGGGGGGGCCGCGGCGGGCCGGGCTCCTGAGGCAGAGAGAAGCCAGAGCATTAGGAGGAAGGAGAGCAGCCACTGTGAGAGCAGGAGAAAAGAGCGTTAGCAGGCGGACAGACAACATCGTGGAGACCTGCGGCCCCCATCGTGGACACCCGGGGCCCTGGACCACCGGACTCCCACCCACCGCCCGGATGGAGCTCCAGCTCCGGAGTGAACTCTCAGCCCGGCCTCAGGGCCCTCTTCAGCAGAGCCCCCGCCTGTGACTGCTGCCCCCACTGTTCCCCCATTTTTCTCCAAAGCTCCCTGCTCGCTGTCTCATCATCGCGCTGGGCACGTTCGTGCCCCTGTGTCTTTGCTTCTGCCGCCCCCTCCTGTCTGTGATGCCTTTCCCTTGTTCCTCTGACTGTCCCAATGCCTAGTGGCCCAAAGTTCCACCGTCTCTTGGGAATATCAGAGCGTTTATGGTCAATACTGAGACACACACCGCCACGCTCCAGAGGCTGGCTGTTTCCTATAAATTGGTCTCGGTCGGCACCGGACGCTGGGCTCCCCAAGTGGAGGGCTGTGGGCACACACGGGCACATGTCTGAGAGGGCCTCACACCGTCCCTGGCCCCTGGGAGAGCCCCTGTAAACTCTTGCTGACTGGCTAGGAAACTGCTCCCCACGCTGACTCTCCACCCTCTCGTGTGCTGGAAAGCTCCGGATTTAAATCCCCACTAAGTGGTATCTTTGTTAACCATCCTGCTGTTTGGGAAGAGACTTCCCCGGAAGGAAGCTAAAGATGGCAAGTGCAGATGAGAGCAAGGAAAGGAGAAATCTGGAAGGAGGTCCGCCAAACTGGGCGCAAGACGACGACTGCCTCGGACCGGACCGAAAGCCAAAGCTCTAGGACTGGCGGCCTCTGGGGCAGGGAGGGGCACAGAATCCGGGCCTTTCAGGCAGATGAGGACCTGCTCCCCCCTCCCCCGCCTACCTTCTACTCCATTTTCTCAGCTTACCTCACTGGATCCGGGCTTGGTGGGGGACCCCTGTGAGCCGGACACCAGTGAAAAGGGGCTCAGGGGGCTGGTGAGACTGGCAGAGCTGAGAGGGCTGGCGGGGCTGTTGGAGCTGTAGGTGGCCGTGGGGCCAAGGCCTCCTGGGGGCAGAGGAGAGGAGAGGTGAGGGATGATAGGGTAGGGGTGTGGCCAGGCATGTGGATGGGCTCCACAGGTGGAGGAGGCAGGGGAGGACCCAGGGACGTGGGAGGAAGGTTCCAGGGCCACCTGGGCCTGCTGAAGGGACTTATTATGGGGGCTGGGGTGCAGGCTGGCCGTGGAGAACTGTGCAGGGACAGGGGACGATGACGGACGGAAAGGACACTGTTGCCTTTGAGATGTCAAAGAAAGCCAGCCCAAAGTCCAGCCCAAAGGGCTTCAGGAAGACATTAAGGTAGTGGCTTCAGATCGCCAACAGGCCCATGGGCTTAGGGGTGGGGAGAGGCATAGGTGTTCTTTGACCTTTTCTGGGGAGGAATCTAGACCATCAGGGTCAACAGTGTCTCAGAGGGGTCTGGTGCATTCTGGGAGGAGAGGAGGGAGTAAGGGAGTCGTACCTACCCTCCCGGGGGAAGATTCTGGAGGCCTGAGAGGGCCCTGACTAGCTCTGAGCTCAGCGTAAGGGCCTGGAGAGGTGGGAGCTGACAGATGTGGGATGGACGCCAGAGACACCAGGGCATTTCTGGCGAGCGTTTCAGGAGGCTGGTGGAGAAGGCACCCACCTCTGTGCTTGGCCGTGTCCGTGCCCCGGGACGGGTTATTTTTCCTCAGCCCCTCCATCACATCCTGGATCCTCCAGATTTCCTTCTGGATTTGCCGGTTGAGTACCTCATTCTGAAACGGCAGAAGAGCAGGTCAAGGGAGGTGGCCGTGAGGAGCATCCCAGCCTCCTCCCTGCATCCCTTTGGGCCGGCGGTAGACAAGAGCCCCGTGCACACGCGCACGCTGACGCGCACACAGCCCTCCAGCACGTTCCTCTTTCTCACGGGAAGACTGTGCCCCCCCCTCGGCTTCTGCAAAATGGAATGCGGGAATTGCCAGAGGAGAGGGCCCTGCTATCACAGTCAAGAGCCCTGTTAGGTAAACATGACTCAGCTTCCCCCAGGGAGATCAGGGTGGTCTTGGAGCAAGTGGCCCTCTAGGTGGCCACTATGGGAGCCAGTTATCAACAGCAAGAGTTCCCCACTTACTAAGATTCTTTGTATCCAAACAGCCCTTTCGTAACACTCACGCCCAATGCATGCCTACACACTCATGGATTCTATTGGGTTAGAGTTTACACTCTTTGAAAACTGACAGCTGCCACTTATTTAGCGCCCGACCCTCCTCCGTGCCGCGTGCCAGGCTCCGCGCTAGGTGCTTTGCATACACTAACTCATCTCGGCCGCACCAGAAGTCTGCGAGGCAAAAGTGACAGGTGTCCCGACTTTGGGGATGAAGGGATGTGCGCCCAAGGCCGTCCGTTAGCAAGCAGTGCGACCACCGTCTGAGTCTGGGTCTATTTGTCTCCAGAGCTGGTGCTCAGAGTGCTTTCCTACCTCCTAAAATGTTCGCGTTGAAAGTGAGGCTTGCCCACAGGACACGGTGGCATTCAGGTGACCTGGACCAAGAGGTCCAGCTGCAAGTGAGGGTGGTGGTAAGTTTTGTTGCCAGGAGTAAAATAGGGGAAACTGGGGCATTAACCGCAACAGAGAGACAGGGCTTGCACAGCTTGGGTAGATACGATTGATCGAGGGAAAGGTTAAGAATTCCCCAAGGTGGATGAGTCCAGCCTCCTGCCTCCAAGCAGAGCGTTCCTAACCCCTCCTGGGAAGGAAAGCCTCTTTCCTATCTTAAAGTTCCTGGGTGGCTTCTCCCGTACTGCCCACTCCTTCTGAGGTCACGAGGGACAGCTACACGTATACCCATATCTATATCCCCGTAGAGACCTATATGCTTGTCTAGACCGACGCCCGTGTCCGTATTTATGTGTTAAATCCTTTCAGTCATAAAATACCTTCTGTCTAACCCAGCTCTCTTGTGTTTCAGCTTTACTCCTTCCTAATGATTTGATGGAACTAAAGAAGAATCCACATTAGCTTCGTCCTGAAAGCGTCTGTTTTAAGCGGACTTGAATCCTGTCCTTTGTCTCAGGACCAACTCCCTGTCTCAAGTCTCTGAGATCTCTAAAGCAAGAAGGGAAGCCATTTTGGTCTCTTGTGGCCCTAAGGAGAAGGGAAGGCATGCCAACCGCCCCTCCCCTGCCCAGGCGCCTTCTTCACCTGGACGTCCAAATTGAGCTGCTCCCAGAGGTCGTCGTGCAGGGCAGAGACCTCGGATTCAAGGTTCTCATACTCTATGGTGCTGTTCGTCAGGGCCTGCAAGGGCAGGTGGGTTGACTGAGAAAGCGGCCATTGCCGAAGCCTTCCTCCCATCCTGCCGCGGGGCTTGGGGCCAAGGTACCTGGGGTCTGGCAGGGCGAGGGAGGAGGGCACAGAGGGACAGGCGGAGAGGGCCCAGGGCTGAGACATTCTGATGACAGCCAAACACTGGCCTTTCAAGAGGCACAGTGGCCCATCGTACTGCAGGCGGACACAGGGAAACCAGAATCCTCTCCAGACGTGGGGGTAGGCCACAAGGGGACCGTACGATGCCCGCACCCTACTGTTCTCCCCACACTGGGTGATACAAAGTTGGGAGGGCAGAAAGAGAAAACCCAGAGGTGTTTGCTTGCTGGGCGTTAGAGACCTTTCTCCCTCCTGGGCCACGTTTTCCTGGGCCTTTGGCCGCCGCAGCCCAGAGCCATTATCCAGGCAGTGCGTACCGGCCGCAGGGTCGGCCCCGTGCCCACGGGAGATGAGGGAGGTAGCATTGCCGCCGGTGTCCTGGATCTCCAGGGGAGAGGACAGAGGTAGGCAGCGAAGCTGTGAGAGCAGCCGAGGAAACGAGCAGCCCTCGACTTCACCCTGTCCTGATCGAATCCCGGTGCAGGTGCGGTGTGTGAAAAAATAAGCCAGTTTCCTCGGCAGAGACTATGGATCGAAGAGGCCGGCACACGCACGGCCGCGTGCAGGGCGGTACTAAGGTCTCGCGTTTGTGCCCCTTCTGGCCAAGAGCCCCCTGCTGCTCCTGCCCGCAGAGGAGAGTCGGGAGCTAGAGGGCACAGCCTGGGAGGGGCGGCTCTCCTGTCGGGGTGCCCA